GGGAACCCCCCCCCCCCCCGGCCCCCCGCTCTTTGCCCCGCCCAGAGGTCTTTTCACCTGGCCCTCGGGGGGCCGCCGCAGGCTGCCTCATCGACGCCCTCGGCCTCGGAGTCGTCGGGGCCGTGGCCGTCACCGGCGCGACGGGCCGCGGCGGCGTCGACTTTGCAGCCTATTCGACCAATGCCCGGGCGGTGACCGCGGAGGACATGGACCCGCTCATTGCGCCTAGCGCCAAGCCATCCGACGTCGACCCGGAGAGCGGCGGCATCGCCTACAAACGGCCCGAGCCCCCCCAGAGGCCGCGGCCATCGAAGAAGCACGTCGAATCAATGCGCGGCGCCAAGTAGAGGGAGCGCAGTATGCCGTCGACGGCTCTGGGCTTAAGGGTTATGGCGTGCATTCGATCACCGCTGGGCCCTCGTGTGTGCAGAACGTCTCGTGGCTGCCGGCAAGTGCTGCGAGAGAACCTGCGAGAGAAGTGATATGTGTGTGTGCACTGTGAGCTGTGAGGATGAGATGTGGATTTTCCTTGAGCCCGTCAGCCGGGCGTGCCCCGTGCGTTTGGACTTGTGGTGGTGCGACGGCGTGCCGCCCGTTCCCGCGGCCGTTCCTTTTCTCGAATGTACGAGATGTGAAGCTGAAGCAGAAGGGCCTGAACGCATTGATTGCCTCTCAATATCCGGAATGTGGTTTGTGACATTTGACTAATGACAATTCACTTTTCACGCACTCCACACCGGTCACCGCTGCACACGGGCCACACGGCGGTCCCGGTCGGCGCACGTCGCCGTCCCCGCGAGGGACAAGGGCCACGTCCGGACACCGGACGTCCTCCACACGAGCCACTTGACAGCTCTGACACGTCCACCTTGTGTTGCCTCTCACACCTATCTGCTATCACCTTTCGTGAGACGTGAGAGAGGTGAGACGGACTTAGACGTACAAAGGGTGTGTGGACCGTGAGTTGACGGAAATCGGAGGACGCGACCCTCTTCGCCACAGACGGTCCCGGGGCTCGCCGCTAAGACAGTGGCACGCGCCGCTGAGCGGCGCGTGCCACTGTCTTTGTCCGGAGTGAATACTCCAACGCGCTCGTCGGTGACGGTGTCCTCCAACCTGCGCCGCGCTCGGCGAACCTCGACAGCGCCTTCGGGAGAGAGATTTTTAGCAATACCAAACAGGGCTCCAGGCCCCAAATGACGTGTGAGTGTTAGAGTTGCCTTCGGTGGCATGCATCTCTTTGCGCCTGAAGCCTGGAGAGCAGCTCCTCTGCTGCTCACACGCTCTGCACAGTTGGCACAGCCTACTGTGCGGCTGCCACAGCTGTCACAGCGATGGGCTCGCCCTCACTGGCCCTCAGTCACTTGTGCTGCGGCTTGTGTGAGCGACACTGCTCGGCGACTGCCGGCACACTGTGAGACCATGGGTGTGAGGTAAAACCACGCTACCAGCGCTTGGTCACATCGGCCCTGAGGTCAGATCCTTCTCCTCTGTTGATGGTAACACTTGTCTACTCGCTGGAGCCGAGCAGGAGGGCCCGGCGCACAACCCCTGGTCAACTCACGGGGGGTCCACACGTCCACACCCCGTACAACTTCTAATAGAGAGTCGGGAGTCGCCGTGAGCTCCCGTAACATTACATCCTCCTGCTGATCTCCGCAAAGTCCTGCTCCCTCCCTCGTCTTCGCCCTGCGCGTCTTCCGCCTCCCCGTCGTCTGCCCTGTGCGTCGTCTGGCGACTGGTCACCTACATAAAAAAGTTACGACCACAAGCACACAAGCCACAACCCCCCACATGCCACAACTGAGACGCGTGACACTCACGGTCACGCCTCCACCCCTCTTATCTGATTTTTTACGCTTGCTCAGCCACCTGTCGCCCCCGCCTCGCCAGCCGAGGCCGTCTGGGCTGCTCGTGGCGCTAGTGCCCTGCGAGTACGCCCGTGGCGTTGATTGGCCAGCCGACAAAGCGCCGCAACGCCTCGCCCGGCCCCTGCCTCTGCCATGTGAGGACACCGACGGCCACGTTAGAGACGACCAGCCCGGTGAGCAGCGCCACGATCCAGAGGGCTCCGCTCCCATCCTCAAAGTGGCGCGGCGACTTGCGCTCGAGCGACTTGAAGCGCAGCACGTACATTCGCAAGGCGTGCACGACGATGGCGGCGGCTGGGATGCTAAGGGCGAGGCCCGCCGACTGGATGGCGAACGAGTTGCGAGAGGCCTGCAGCGCGGCGCCGAGCACCGTCAGGATTGTGGCCATCTCGAACCACAAAAGCATCGTCCGCTCGTTGGCGAAGTACGACCTAGGCTCTACGCGAACCGGGAAGACGATGTGGGGATGACGGTGCCGTGCCGGCAGGTGGGCGGCGATGAGCCTCGAGACGAGGACAGCGGCGACGGAGAGGGCGAGACAGAGGAAGACGATCCGCCAGAACATGTGGACAACTCGTAGAAAAGGCGAGCCAACACGACAGCGGCAGTCTCTTCGCGAGAGTCGTGACGCCGTGATCACTCCGAGAAGGCACGAACAAGAAATTCCGCGGTGGCTCGTTTATTCGTTTCTCTCTTTTCGCTCTTCTCTTCTCTTTTGCGCGATTCTCACAAAACACAAATCTCGATTCTCTCTCTCGACACAGGGCACGCGGGTGTGTGTGTGTATGCTCTGGCGAGATGTGAGGCGCATGCGCCCAGGAGGGGAGGGCGCATGCGTAACGACGCTGCTAGAGATGCCTTTCGGGGCCCAGAGATAAAACTTCCGATGCCATGCGTGACCTAGTAGTGTCCCCAGCTATGGGCGTGTCCACGTTGGGAGAGAGATTTTTAGCAATACCAAACAACTCACGTTGGAGCCAGGTGTGGTGTGGGCGCGAGAATAGCTCCGCCGTTCATGGAGGCAACCGATACGAGTCGACTGGTGTGTGTCGTCCTGGTTTCGTATCAAGAATACTCACTCACACGTCACACAGGGCACGCGGGACGGGCGCGCTTGCTCTCTCTCTCTCTCTCTCTCTCTCTCTCTCTCTCTCTCTCTCTCTCTCTCTCTCTCTCACTCACTCACTCACTCACTCACTCACTAACACAGGTACACTACGGGAGCCGTCTGCGAATCCCGCGAGGGCGGCGAGAGCTCCGTGCACTCACCCGGCGAAGAATTCTCTTTCGCCTCGTGCGGCCGCTGTGAAGGCTACCGCGACGGCCTCGCTACTGGCGCGTACGATCATGACAGTGACGGTGTTGGAGAGCCAGCTGCCGCTCGTCGACGCGCCGCCCTCCTCCTCCTCTCCGCTCCGCTCCGGATCGTCCCGCCGCTCGATTCTCGTCGCTGACCGCGCCACCTGCGACCTGCACGTCCTCGGCCTCGACGGGCGGCTCCGTGTCTGGTCGCAGCACGAGGCGACGCTCCGCTGCGTGCGGACGCTCGCGCCGGCCGTCGTCCCTCCTCAGCTCGCCGCGAACCCGGGCGCCTTCTGGAGGCACCCCTCGCGCACGCAGGCGCAGCTCGTCGCAGACGCCTCGGGCGGCTCCGTCGCCGCGCCCTCGCTCCCGCCGCCCCTGATGCGAGACCCGCTCGAGCTGCTCGCGCCGACGACACCCGGCGAGGGGCGGCTGATGGCCGTGGTGGGCGCGGCCGGCGTCGGCGTGCTGGCGCTTCCCGCCGACGGCACGCCCGGCCGCCGCGCCGCCGCCGCCTCCTCGGACGAGGTGTGTGACCTGCTCGGCCGGCTCGGGCTCGGACGGTTTGCGGCGCCGCTCAAGTCTCTCGGGTACGAGTCGCTGACCGCGCTGCACGCGCTGAGCCCGGAGGAGCGGCGGGTGCGCTCGCCTCCGGGGCGAGAGCTCCGCGCCTCTACTTGTTCAAAGCACTGGAGAATGACGGACGTAGGCGCTCGCGTCCGAGGCTAGCATGGCGCCGGGCCACGCGCGCACGCTCTCCCTCTACCTGGACGGGAGGCTGCAGCCGCCGCCCGAGCCGGCGGCGGCGAGCAGCGCGGCGGAGGCGGAGGAGGAGGAGGAGGTTGCGTGGATGATCCCGATCCCGGCGGCGGCGCTGCGGCAGCCCTCGGCCGACGCTGGGCGAGTGACGCACGCGGCGGCGTCGCCCTTCGTGCCGCGCGGCGGCAGCGGCGGCGGCGGAAGCGGCGGCGTGCGGGTGCTTCAGGCGGCGTGGCACCCGCTCTCTTGCAGCCACTTGTGCGTGCTCACCTCGGACTCGCGGTTGCTGCTCTTCGACGCGCGGAGCAGCCTCCACGCGCCCGACGAGGCGCTCGAGGTGCCGGCTCGCCCCGACGAGGCCGTCGTCGCCTTCTCCTTCGCCTCCCCCTCCGCCGCGGGCTGGGCATCGCTCGCTGTCTGGTTCGCCTGCTCCGACGGCGCCGCCCATATCTCCCCATATCTCCCCTGTATCTCCCCCGTATCTCCCCCCATATCTCCCCCATATCTCCCCCATATCTCCCCAATCT